TTGAGTAAAGTTTATCTCAACAATGGTTACTATTAGTGCATTGAACAGATTGATGAATTTGTAAGCGTTCATCACGCACTCACTTTGATCATAAAATAACTATCCTGTATGAGAATAAATGAATATTGTACAATATACAAAGTCAACTAGAGTTAGAAATGTAAAAAACACTGGATTTCAACTAAGTGGTTTACAGGTTAAGCTTTCTACGCGAGGTTTTAAGAGATCTTCGAACATGTAGATTGTACCTAAATCGATGGGTCATCTAGCATTATGTTTATCAATTGACATGTACTTTTTGGATATGTTGTTTAGAAAGGGGTAATCTTGACTTGTGAGTAAATGCAGCTAAATGGCTGTTAACGTAATTAATTTTTAATGATCTCATAACAGCAAAAAGAGCGTTCTATACCCTACCATTTTCAAATACATAGTTGTGACATTTTTTGTATGTTAGTTGTTTAGGCTGAATAATTAGATTCATTGAGGCATTGGTCATAAGAAAACCGAACTCAGGAATCTGTTCAGAAGAAATTCATGCTGTCACTAAATGCTACAACTATTATAATGGTTTCCAATTTATTTGCAAGACCAATATGATTCATAAGGATTTTTTAAATCATCCTTGCTTTCCTTATATTCATATTTATCGACTTGGGCCTTCGTTTTCCATATTAATATCTTAAAAAATATGTGTAATGTCAGATTGTCTGGATTGTATTTCACTAGCATATTGCATATATGCTCGTGATATGCAACTCCGAAATACAGCTAGCTTGAGTAAGGGAATCAGTATCGACTCATTTTATTGAAATGTGTAGCTGATCGTTAGGTGAATTAATTTAGATTTGGATACCACGGGTTCTCAGTTCAGAGGTCAAGTAGTTGGATGTTCACGTGCAAGACCAGAGGTCTTGATTTCGATTCTCGGTCGAGGGGAGTAAGGGTCCGCGTTACTGAGGTGTGCCAAAACGACTGTCCAGTGTTTGCACGTTTACAATGGTTTTCTAACTTACATCAGTGCCGTGATTTCAACAAAACTCAACTCCACAACCCTATACTGACAAGTATCGATTAAAATGAATTTTCGTTACATCATTATATTCAATCTAAATTCTTCTCATGCTGTTACTAAACATTTTTATTATGATTTTAGTTGAATGATTAATACTCAGTGCATAAATTTTAATTATTGTAGTCGAGATATCATTGACTAACTTAAATTACATTTTATAGAGGAATATCGGTCCTACCACCAAAAGTTTAAACCACTTAACTGAATGTTTTAGTCGAGTTAGTGGGTTAGCAAAGAAGAGATGCGAAGTAATCTCAGTTCAATTTAGGGCTGTGAAATGTTAGCACACTATACAAACATATCGATATAGTTCTGATTAGTTCAATCTTTTTATTGCAAACATATATGAATTATTTCTGAACAATAAATTATTCCCAAGTGTTTATTGGTGTTTGAGGACTTTAGATTTATTGATATTATATGTAATTGAACAGTAATATTGTTATGCTCGTCAACTGATATGCTTGAAACTATTATGAGTTCACCTTAGTCGGTAAACAACAGTGAAGAGAATTGATCCAGTGACACGATAGGTTACGCTAATCCGAGCGCTCCAAAGTCCCACTAAGTAGAGGAAGAAGTCTTGATATGGCATAGAAAGTGTATTCTGCAAGCACCAAGAAAATTGAGTTTATATATACATGCTAGAAACGCCCATGGTGAGAGCCACAAAAATAGCGTACTAAAATAACACACCAACCAATGACAGTCACGGATTTTGCGGGTGGGAAATGTAATCTCAGGGTCAACTGATCAGCCTATGCGCTAAAACATAAAATCCAAAATTAGGACCATTATCAAGTGAGTTCTGGGGATCTAACGTCCCCGACATATATCATTCAACTTTTATCTTCTGTAAATTCAAACAAAGTAAGAATATACTTATATATAAATGTACAGAATAAAATGAATCAGGCGTACTTCGAGGCTTTTCATAAATTACAAACTATAAAAAGTACTATAATTAATTAGTCTTACTTTAGTCAACAAAATTAAAATGAATGTTTTTTTTAGAATAAAGTCGATAATCCTGATAAATTGACGATCACACAAAGTTACAAGAAAAAAGTCGTTTTTTAAAAGTGATTGTCTATTCTTTAAGTTATAAATACCCAACTGTTAGCAACAAACACTTGCATTTTCTCATCTTCAATGCAAATCAGATAACGTTTTTTTTCTCAAATCTTTAATTTAAACATAATCCGTCTATTTGAAAGAAAACCACATTCTATAATATACAACTAGTTTATATTCTCAATGTATATTATTTAAGGTCACAATAATGATTGAAACTTTTTACTTTTGAATACTATTGTTGGGGACGTTAGATCCGCAGAACTCACTTGCAAAAAGTTTCTTATTTTTGAATTTTATGTTTTCGCGCCAAAGGTGCTAGTTTTGTCCTTCAGATTGCATTTCCCACTAGGGAAATCCTTGAGTGTCATTGGTTGATGAGTTAGTTTAGTACACTGTTTTGCGGCTCTCACCAAGGGTGCTTTATCAATTGTATAAATAAACATGAGTTGTGTGCTTGTTAGACTTCATACTTTCTGGTTGCCTGTGCAATACATTCTCTCTACGTTCTATCAAGACATCTTCCTCTAGTTAGTGGGGCCTGAGACGATCGGATTAGAGTAGCCTATCGTACCACTGAATCATTGATCTTCGTTTTGTTACCGAGTAAGGTGATTCGTAATAGCTGCAAACATATCAATTATGAATTTAGATTACTGCAGTTAGGTGAAGAGATATACAGCATTCGACATCAATGAATATGAAAATGACTAGTAAGAAGGGTCAGTCAAAAACAATACGCAGTTCTATCTTAGCACACCTGGTAGATAGTGGTTACATTGTAGATAAATCTAGATCTTTTCGGGTGATCTATCGTATACCTCTATCATTTCCCAACGGAGTTCGATCCCGTCTCCTATACATTGCAGAAGCCATAAAAATACATACATTCAACCCCAATTTATATGTTCAGAAGAAAGTTGCTACACTCCTATCTCTTCCGTGGCCGCATATGACGTAACTAACGACTGACATTATATTTTTTATTCTATTTTTTATTTTTACACATTTGCTTATTACGTAATGGTTTTGATGTTTTTAATGATTATTCGAAATCTTTTCATCCACGTTTGACCTACTATTGATAAAACTTTAGTTATCATATTTTATAATTTTCTTACTACTATCAGTATACCTGTTTTCCTACTATCCACTTGAACTTTTGCCTATTATGTGTAGTTACGTAATCTTTTTCATATCATTGTGATTATGATTCAAATTGCCTTGATTGGTTTTAACATTTTCACATAAATATTCATGTATATTAGAGTAAAAAGCCTTATGACGATCTAATCGAAAACAATATTGTTCGCTTATATGTGTGTGTGTTATAAGAATTTAGGGAAAAATATTGTTTCATATGGCATATTTATATTCTGTTATTACATAATTATACGTGTGCATGTATTGATGTCCATCAACTAGGCAACATTCATTACTGTTGATTTTGATTTTAATTAATCACTAAAAAAAACTATTTAATCTGTTAAAGGTAATTGATATCTTCCATTCAATTTATGGTTCTTGTTTAGAACCGAAGGGTTTTGAATTTATCATAGAAACTTACAGAATCGGCTGCCTTCCTTCTATGATAACAATAAACATGTGCTCATTGCTGACTAAATTCAACAAGGAAATGCCTGAGATCCTAGTAAGAAACAGCTACTAATGAAGTTTAATCATATTGGATGAGTGACAGATATTACCCCTGGCCATACACTATCGCAAATCGATTGAATTTAGAAACTTAAAGCATTGGATACCTAATTAGTGATGTAAAAGTTAAAAACTCATTATGAAGCTTAGATCTTTTACTGGATTATGGATTTACACTGATGAAAAGTGGTATACCAGGTTAATGCATCTGTTCAGTGTTTCATTGTTTTCAATGGTTGTCTAGCTACAAACATTTCATGGTATTATCCACAAATTTATAGTCACCTCTAGATTGTACATCTTCGGTTGTCCTTATCAATCTGTTTCATGAAATAACTGAGATAAAATTCACTCAGTTTTCTGTTTTTCTCAAAAAAAAAATTATCATTAACAGGAAGTATCCGATCTTTTTTACATTGAGCAGTAGACTGTATATAATTTTGTGACATTTATCATCATTTATCATATTATTTAACGATGTGAACTAAAAGATTTCAGGTTGTAAGAATTTCTTATGTTCTGTTTATTGTGCGTAGGCTTTTAAATAGAGTTACAGTTGGTTATTAATTGGCTTTAACTGAAAAAACTATATTATGAATAAATTGAGAAATGTACACAATATCATAATTACCTCTTCGTAAACACGATTTTGCCGGGATTTAACTCCATTCTATTGTTGTCCTATTGTTAGCGGGGACATAGATTGGATTACAACATATTCCATACACGATTGCGTTGTTGCACGCTGATTGGCTCTTTTGTGTCCAATCAGAAGTAGTCGGTACTTAGGGAATATTCTAGAAACTCCTTATGTAAGAAACTATAAATATACTCATGTTTTGAACTTCTCTTACTTCCATCTAACCTTGTTATTGGAATATAATCTCTATTTCCTGTTCAACTGTGTTCTGATTTGGGGTAGGACGTTTCGACTTAATTGATGTCCGAGAATACTAAGCATTACGAATATCTGGGTTGTAAATATAGAGAAAATCCTGCGGGGTGCAGGAGTCGTGGATGCACACTACTGATGAGTCCCATACCAGGGCAAAACGGCTGTCCAGTGCTTCCAGGTTTCTAATGGTGGTCTAACATTGATCGATTCATGGTTACAAATAAAACTTAACAATCTTCACAACAACCCCGCAATAGAATTAAAACAGCTATTATTATTATTCTTCGTATTCTTTTTTAGTGTGATCAAGGTGATTGTCTATTCGAATTGTTCATACAATTAGTTATAATTATGATTGGTAAACAAGTATTTGGTTTTATTCAAGAATCTTTAATGCCGTAAGTTGTTGAAACAATTTTCTATTCATTTTATTGTTTACACCACAAACCTACTGTATTTGCTGTTTCGTCCTTGCTTGGGACTCTTCAGCAGTAATCTGTCGTCACATTGTCGTGTGAACGAACGAATGAGCAAATATGCTTTGAACATAAATCCCCCCTTTTAACTCTGTAGATTATACAAAGCGAAGAAGGCAAGCGTGCTAACTCCATTTGATAATCTGTGATTTTATTTATAGCCAGACAGAACAATGATTTAAAGATATACGATGAATAGAATAAGCGATATATGTACAAGCGCCCATATAAAAATAGTCAACCTTATATTTAAGCTTATAACTGACAAGGTCAAAACATATATGGATAACGACTGCAAAAGAATAAATTATTTGGTTTGTCTCAAAGTTAGAATAACTCATGTTGGCGTGACATAACATTAGACGCTATATGTAACCCCATTTGAGAGAAAAATCATTTTCTTTTGGAGCAGAGTAATAGATTAGGAATGCTCGGTTGTAGTGAGTAGTATGTATGTAATTACAGTTAGATTACATGAATTTTTTAAAAAAAAATCTGATAAAATAGAATAAAACAAGGAAATTTCCTGTTCACTTTTCATTTTGTAAGCATTAATTTATAACATGATAAAAAACGAAATCAATATCTTGCTAGATTTGCTATGTGATAACCAATAAAATCTAGAACTCAAGTTTCGTCCACCAAGATGTATGTATGAAAAACGGAAACTGATTGTTTTCAGTACTGAATATTAATCAGCAACAAAAAAATGACAACTCACTAACTATTTTTTCTCGTATCATTATGTGTTGCCTTTGATGTGGTGTATAAAATGATTTTTTCAAAACTTCCTTTGTTTGTCATCTCATCTCATCTTGTATCAATGCTTTTAATGAATAGTTACAGCCAGTCAGTTGCAACGTAGAACTTCGTATGTATGTACATAAGTTCAGGTTGCCATACCACATTAGCACAGAGAGACGCAAATGTCAAATCAAATTTCATAGTGATAAAGATAGTAGAGGTATTAATGGTAATGAAGAAGACTAGGGTTTGAAGATATTATTCAAGAAGTATGATTCAGTGAGATAAGGTTAAAAAAACGAAGGTAGAGGTGCTGACGATTCCAGAAGATTAGGATTTGAGAGAGCACAACGAATGGATGCACTTGCGCCATTGCAAACGATTTTGAGCCATGTCATTCAAGGTCTTTAACCATCGATTATTATCATCTCGCGGACCCCAACCACGTAGTCGACAACTACCGACATGGCTAAGTCCACTCGTCGATGACTTCATGGACTCCTGCCATGTTTTGGTATGGCCGCCCCTAACTTTCTTCCAACCTATTCCTACACCACAAAACATAGCTCGTAGAGGCAGTCGGTGGTTAGGCATTCGTAACACATGTCCCAACCACCTCAACTCATGAAGTTTCAATACTTCATCTATTGATTTGCCATCCTTACCTAGTACTCGTTTCCTAACGACAGCATTGCTTACTCAGTTGTCCCACGATGTACGAGCAATGCTTCTTAAACATCTATAATCGAATACTAGTAACCTACGAACATCTACTCTTAACGGCCATGTTTCGCATCCATATAGGAGAACGGAGCGAACTGCTACACAGTACACCCGTCCTTTGGTTAGCGAACGGATATCACGCCTTCGTCATAAGTGACGCAGGTTGGCAAAAGCCAATCGAGCTTTCTGTATCCGTGCTGAGATTTCGTCAGTCACCAGGCTATCAGCACTGATGAAACTCCTCAGATAAGTGAAGCGATCAACACGCTCGACTACTTCACTTCCTATCACTAGTTCAGGTGAATAGTTACTGTCATTTATTTCTCCGTCTCTCTCTCTCACACACTTAATCTTCATTCATTTATTCTATTTATTAGTGTTCTATGGAAGTTATTTTTTAAATTTCGTGCTATGAAACGTTCACCTCATCAACATGATAATAATAATATGAGTGGTACAAATGTTGCTGAATACAATAATACATTAGGTAATGCTTCTATTGTACCAGCCAGGTATAGTTTATTACGTGGACGAAATATTCTATGTCGTGCTGATTTTAATATGCTTGATCCTGGATCTAGACCATTATTTAATGAGTATTTAGAAATGAGTAAGTGATTTTTTGTTGTTTTTGGTTAGTTATGTTTTTAATACTTCATACTGATTTGAACTGACCGTTTCGTCTTTGTGTGCTAATGTGGTATGGTAATTCGAACTGATGTACGTACGTACGTACGTACGAAGTTCTACGTTGTCACTGACTGATTGACTGACTGTCTGATACTTGATATTATTCTAGTGATAGATTGGTAGCATATTTATTGAGTTATTTGTATCATTCTAACTGAGATTATCTGATAGTGTATACTGTAGAGACACATATCATGAGTAACGCACATATGAATAACACAAATGTAGTGAGGTTTAGGAGTTAAAATGAATACAGTAGTCAAAATTACTCAGTAATATCCATCACTCAACGACTAAATGAATGGAAACTGACTCATAGTGTTATCTTGTACTCACTTAGTGAAAACGTTACGGACCACACTCACATTAACTGTGGTGCGCGCTACTTATAAGTAGTATGTGACGCGAGTAAAAACGTAATGTCTAGCAGCAGAAGATGAGGGAAGATCAAGAAAGGAAGAGTGGGAACACAATGGGATTTGTATGAAACGTATGAACAGTGAAATGTCAGACAATCGATTGATGTTTGCAACAGGAACTGTCCAGTTCGGTATGATGGATTGATATTTTGCAAATTAACAATTTACGATATGGTTTTCCTATTTTACCAATTAACTCTGTAATTTGCGATAAATACAATTCGGTTGCCCTCACCTGTGTTCTCCTTCACTAGATAACCACTGAGCTGAACATTTACTGACCACTTTCATTATGCACTAAACCACAATTGTTCATCGAGTGGTTAACGATATTTCTAAGTTCCATTTGAACGCATTTGTTTGCATAGACAATTCTCAGAGTTAGAAAATATCCAATATTGTAGAACGTATTTATCTATTTGAACTATTAGTCTCAGTCGACTAGAGTTACATGAAATGAAATATCTGCTTAATCTATATAACGTTACATTGAGGCTATACAGCCTAATGACTGACTCGTCAACCTAGTTCATCTTAACCTGGTGTTGACTAGGTTACCTTGTCTCTTTATGTTGTAATGCTTGCTTAAATAATTCCCAGCTAATTCCTATTGCTTAGTGTTCTCTGACCACAATACACTGGACAGAAACACGGTGAAACAGGAAGAGATTATATTCCAATGTTATAACCGCTGCTACGTATAGCTATTCAGTCCTAGCGACGTCCAACTCAAATATCCCGATACGACCCAAATTGCTATTTCCAAATCTCCTATATATCAGAACGCAACACCGTGGGATGGAGTTGTTTATTGGGTCCAGTACAAAGAGAGGTAGGCAGGAGAAACGGAATTGGAATCGAAATCATGAAGGCTTACAGATAGTGAGTATTTATACATTAAGGTCGAATAGGAAAGAGCATCAAAGTCTGTGACATTGACATTTTAGGACGACCAATAGGAAAGAACACTTGAAATGACATTGACTGTCCGGATGACCAATAAGAGACAACATCGAAGTATTTGACTTTGACAGTTAAAACGACCATAATTTTGATCAATAGAAATCGACCAATAGGATTATACTTCCAAAAATTGTACTCTTAGGATATTTGGTGCAAATCCTAACATCCAAATAGCAAGGTTAAATGGAAATGAGAAGCCAAAGGTGATGGCGAAGGCAAAAATAGATACAACGTTAGATTATTTATATCATTTACATGAGAAGCTTCTGGATAGGAATTCACGTGATCAACTGGATTAGATTTAGCCAATCAGAGTGCAGCTAACAACACGAGAATTTTCTACCTGTTCTCCAAGAATCGATCAGGCGCTGATTGGATAGGAAATTAGCCAATCAGCGCGCATCAACGTTGTCATGCTTTAATTCCATCTATGTCCTAGTAGAACAGAACCAAACTGTATCACTTACCTATCCTAACATATCAGCTGATTTTTCAGAATAGGTCATTTATCAAAATGTATAAATCTTGATAAGTAATTCAACATTCAATGACACTAATCTTTCGAGATTGGAATATGTTTAGTGCAATAGACTAGTTTGACTAGAGTTCAGTGCTTTCATATTGGTCGCTTGAATTTCCTCAGTTTTTTCACAAATTGTATTTTTCTTTTAATAATTCCATCCTCTTTTGTTTTTAGTGATTCAATATGGATTCATCACTATGTTTGTTCCTGCTTTTCCACTTGCACCATTATTTGGCTTATTAAACAATCTGTTTGAAATTCGTGGTGATGCTAAAAAGTTGGTTAATCAATATCGTCGTCCAGTTCTTGAAAGAGTTCAAACAATCGGTAAATGAACCGAATATTTTTTTTGTTGTTGATTATTTGAGTACTGTTATTATTCTTTTACCTGTCTTCTTTCTAATTTTGTCTTTTCCTAACCTATCTGATATAATTATGTCTGACTGGCTTTTCAGTGATCATATAGCCAACCTGCGTCACTTATGACGTAGACGAGATATACGTTTGCTGACTAAAGGCTGAGTGTACTGTGCAGTAGTTCGCTCCGTCGCAATTTATGGCTACGAAACATAGCCAGTCATAGTAGAAGATATTCGTAGGTTGCTGGTTTTCGATCATAGGTGTCTCCGAAGCATTGCTCGTATAATCTGGAACAACTGAGTAAGCAGTGCTGTTGTTAGGAAACGGGTGCTAGGTAAGGATAGCAAATCAATAGATGAAGTATCGAAACTTCAGATCTTGCTCCAACCGACATAGAAGCCTTGTTCTAATGTCACTGAACTTATGCGACTGGAGGCTGCAGATGAGTATAAGGGCTTTAAACTAATCTTCCGACAAAGACTTCAACCGAAAGCGTCCGCATTCACGGTTGACGATGCCCACATGCGTAAGAAGATCGTCATCTTCGTTCATAATTAGCTTCAAACATCGATAACGAGTATTAAACAGTGACAAGTTGTCGCCAAAGTGTTGGCTCAATGTCTGAACAGTCTCAGAAAATGAACAATCTCGTGGGTTCAAAGGCAGGATCAAATTGCAGTACTTATCCAGCTCACTTGCGCCCAACTTTCGAAGTAGCAGCCGAACCTTCCAAGCATCATCTTGGTTGGCGAAATCAAATCACAAATCAAAAGTAACATTGGCATCAGGATCATAATGAAATTCAGCTGTGCTATTTGCGATGCCATTGACCGATGGAGCTGTGGTTGCATTAGATGAGCTAGGCTGTGTGGGAGGGGAAATCTTCATATCTGTCAACATATGCATCAGTTTCAGCTGCTGCTCAAGTAATAATTCAAGTTTGACAGGACCCAGTTGCATTTCTGTGCTAATGTGGTTTGGCAACTTGAACTGATGTACGTACGTACCTACGAAGTTCTACGTTACTATTGATTGGAGCGATCATGTAACTTTACTCTGTTTGTGCCTTAACATGCGGTGTTTTAATATGATTCTGATACATAATCTTATACACGAGCCCTGACTGGTTACTCAAGTGAAAAGATAGGGAGAGAAATTTCATTGACAAAACTGAATTGACATGTATACTTGCTTTGAAAATGAAACTACTAATAGTATTATTGTTTCGCCCTTAGGAAATTAAAAATTATTTCTCTCCTTATACGGTGTGGGCAGCCGGGGAGTAACATTCACCCTCATACACATAAAAGTCCACGAGATCAAATCGGTTACAATCAAATCCTTTCTACACCTCCCAATAACTCTCTTACCTCCTCGATCAACTCTTTGTTTGATCGTTTGATCGTTGATCTCACGCCACTGAAGCTAACGGTACGAGCTCTGAATTCCTCATCATCTCCATTTTTCTTTTTCTAAATTTATCTCACTGAATTATACTTATCGAATCATATCTTCGCTGCCTAATCTTCTGCATTACTGCTAATACTTCTACTATCGCTATCACTCTTGGATTTGAACTGACAGTTGTTTCTCTGTGATGTTGTGGTATGGCAACCTGAACTGATGTACTTATGTACGAAGTTCTGCGTTGCATCTATCTGTCTGCCTCTGGTAATCACATGCACCTATCATTTGCATCAGATTTCTGACTGGCCCAGTGTTTATAAATTGATTAGCAAGTATTTACTAAACATTGTTATGAATTGACTGAAATAGTTACAATTGAAGGAAGAACTTTTTAAAACTCTTCTTAGTAAGAACTAGTATGCAGAAAGACTATCTTTATTTGGTCATTTCGGAAAATGTCTATTATATTAATACAGAATATAATCACTTGCAATCAATATTCATCAAATAAAGACTTTTCACATCCATACAACAAGTAAATGTACACTACTATTATTTATTTAGAAAAAAAATGCAAATTAATCCAGTTTGTTAATTATTGTTAGAATGACATATAATATGTACTGGATTCCATTAGTATACAGTTTATGTCAATTATATAATAATTATGCAGTTTAGATAATAAATAATCAATCATCATTTTATACCTTACTGTACTTTATGAAAGAAGATTGATAAGCATATAATTTAAGCGTTGAATTAACATACTGTTTTTTTTATTGTCCAGGTATATGGTTGTCAATCATTACTGTTCTTGCAAGCATTGCTATTCGTACTAATGTAAGTGTATTTTTTCATATGTACTACTTTTCTTTCTTAGTTTTTTTTTTTAACATAAGTTCTGTTGTATAATGGTCAATGTTCCAGATCTGAACACAATACATCCTAGCCTTCCGAACTGGCTACTTGAGCGAGAAGGCAACTTACTTACTTAAGCCTGTCACCCCCAACAGAGCACAAGCTGCTGACTAGTGTTCTCTAATCTACTCTGTCCTAGGCCTCTCTTTCCAGTTCTGTCCAATTTTTGTTCATTCTTATCATATTCTTCTTTGTTTCTCGGCGTAATATGTTCCTTGGTCTTCCTGTTTTCCTTTGATCTTGAGGGTTCCAGGTGAGGGCTTGTCCTGTGACGCATTTGGGTGCTTTTCGCAGTGTGTGTCCACCGCTTCCTGATTTCCTCCTCCGCTGAGATCTGGTTTGTCCTCTCCCATAGTAGGTTGCTGCTGATGGTGTCTAGTCAGCGGATTCGAAGTATTTTGCGTAGACAACTGTTAATGAATACTTTTATCTTGTGGATGATGGCTTTCGTATTTCTCCAAGATTCTGCTCCAAACAGTAGAACTGTCGTGACATTTGTATTGGAAATCCTGATTTTGGTGTTGATTGATAGTTGTGTTGAGTTCCAGATATTTTTAAATTGTAGAAATGCAGCCCTTGTTTTGCCGATCCGCACTTTTACATCTGCATACGATCCACCTTGCTCGTCATTGATGCTGCCTAAATATGTGAAGGTATTAACGTCCTCCAAGGGCGTGTCCATCAAGAATGATTTCGTTGGCGGATGTAGTGTTGTATCGGTGAATCTTGCTTTTCCCTTAATACATATTGAGACAAGGCAAGATTTCAAGAAAACACCTGTTTACTAATCCAGTCATATACATAAATACTCATTTAAATATATACATTCCTCTCTCTTAGAACATAAATCCACTTCCCTATCAACGATGTACACTTGCCCTTTAAGAAATTTCTGATGGTCATTAAATCACCTTTTTCGACCACTCCTGATGGGTTATGCACATCAAGGTATTACCTAAAACCTTCAAGTCCCATACTGTGACTTGACGATATGTGTTCAAGCGCAGTGATAATAATTCGATTAATGTCAATAACCTAAAACACAGCATTCAATGGCTTGAACTTGTTTTACAAATATCATCCAAATAGCTTCCAAATCAGTCATTAGTTTCCGATGCTGAAACTGAACAGGAAAAGTAGAGAGGTAGTCAGTTTATGATTTGATACTGTGGTATGAA